AATATATTTATTAGATACTTCCATATTGTTGCATATAGTATTTGTTTGGTTCATTTTACTCTATAATATTCTATGATTTCGATAAATCACTGTATATCCGTAGACCTTTTGACAGCTGTCTTAATTACTTCCCATTTTTGTCTTTTTTTAAAGCTTTATTATTACATTTTATTGACACATTTTTTCAACATAAACTGCTGGTTTTCCCAAAGAGAAAGAATAGAAAAGACAGACACAAAAACCAAAACATTAGCATCAGATTATGAGAAAATAGATGCCTGCAATGTAGAATTACCTTTAATGCTTTTTATTTCAACTGACTTTAACAATAGGAAGTTTTTAAAGAGAAAATTATTTCCTAGGAGACTGAAGAATAAGACCTTGAATTTTTTTTTCTAGAAATGCAAATATTATAAGTAGTTAAGGATCTAAGATTGTCTTAAGGGTGTGCTATTTTAGCCCATAAGAATATATGAAGGTAGACAATAGTTTTGTAATGTAGATTTTAATGCCTCATTGATATAGGGGAGAAAATGAAACTCCTGACCTGAAAAGTACGTGGGACAAGTTCATGTTCTCTAAAACCAAAGAATGAATTGTAGGAACAAACGGAGGTTATGAGCAGAATGTATTTATTGGGAAGAGAGAAAGCTTCTGTCCAAGAGAAGGATAGAAGGGGGGCCCAGAGCAGGTCCCTGGGAAGCTCACCATGCAGTGAGGTGGGTCTAAGGTGGTGGAGAACATGGGAACTCGTTTAGGTGGGCATAAGGTGGGACAAACCTATGGTCAACCAATGAGATTACAAGCACCATTGCTCATGTAAAATTGCAACCTGAAGAAGCCAGAGCAGTCCTCATCCATGATTCCCTCCTGGCAGGTCGGGCTACTTCTTCAGAAGGAGGAATGTTGTAGGCAGCTGAATTAGATAGAAATATTATAGGCAGTCAGACAGGGCCAGGCCCTCAAGGAGACAATATGGAAGACAAGGTGACTTTCCAACTTTGGAAGAGACAAACACTCCCTGCTGTGGGCCACACCTCAAGACAAAAGAGCAAGCAAATTCAGCCACATACTTCCCTATGGAGGGCAGCAGGAATTGGTATTCTAAATAGGTATCAATCACCTTGAAAGAGCCCAAATGAGTCACTAACCCAACTCCCAACAGGAAGAGGCCCTGTCCTGTATTCATGCCTGCTTGCTACCTGATTCACTTCCCCATTTGGTACTGGATTTAACCCATTTTTGTCTCTTATAGAGAGCAATGCTCTATGCATTTCTGTGAATATATTTGAGGCATATTTCTATGGGTTTCTGTCAAGCATGCACACACACAGAGGCAGAAATGCTGGGCCAGAGTGTATGCATGCATTTAAATTCCTTGGTTCTTCCCATAGCAGTTTTGGGGGATTTACAATGTACACTGTCATCTTCTGAGCAAAAGGTCCAGATCAAGTTTTATGTTAAGCCTTTCAAGGGCCGGGGAGATGGCTCAGTGGAATAAGCACTTCACTGGCAGGCACTAGGGCCTGAGTTCAATCCCCGGTTCCACAAATAAAAAAAAAAGCCTTTCAGTTATACTCCTTCAGTTGACCATGTAGTTATGTCTCATTAAGTATGCCATTAACTTCAGGTTCCTGGTTGCCAATAAGGTTCTGTATTTTTTCTTTTTTCAAATTACTTTTAACCATTAAGATAGTCCTTATGAAAAGTCTTTGTTCAAATTTCTTGCCCATTTTTCAGTTGGGCTGTCTGTCCTAGATACCTGTAAATCATTTTTATGTATTCTGGATATGAATCATCTACATATGAATGAAATAGGTTCAGTTTGTTCATTTTACTTTGAATTTTGCATCTGTATTAATAATCAAAGTTTACCAGCAAGTTTGTTTTTATTGTTTTTCCCATTTTTTGTGTGTCAAAATTATAATGATGTCATAAGACAAATAGGGATGCATTTCCCCGCCCACCTCCCCAGAAAACGTGGTTAAAAGTTGTTAACATTTCTTCTTTAAGTGTTTGGAAAAATTCACACATGAAGACAACAGTAACTACAGTTTTCCTTGTGGAAAATTATAAATTGTAGATTCAACTTCCTTAATAATTAGAGATTTATACAAATCTTACATTAATTTTCCTACTCACTTTGGTAAGCTATGTTTTCTATATAGCTATAGAAAATTTATATAAAAATAAATTAGACAAAATTATATTTTGTCTAATTTATTTTTAATTTTTGAGATCTTGTTGAAATCTTATCTAGAGTTTAACACTTTTATTTTTTGTGTCAAGTGACAAGCTATAGTGATCCTCTCTATTCTATTCCTTTTTTTTCCTTCTAGTTTCCTTGGTTTTAACTTTTGCTTACTAATTTTTTATTTGTATGCTAAGGTCATTTGTTATCAGACTTTATTTTTTTCATATATTTATTTATTTATTTATTTACTTAAGATGATAAACTTCCATGTACACCCCAGAATAGTTCACAAATATTATTTATTATACTTTAGTTAAATTGTTTTTTAATATTTACTGTTACTTGATGCATGCATTATTTAGAAATGTGCATTCTAATTTTAAAATAGATAAAAATATTTCAATTGGTTTTATGTTGTCAGTTGCTAATTGAATTTACCATGGTTAGAGAATGAAGAATGGTCCACATTGTGAAGTCCTTTTACATTCTGTGTGACTCACATAGATGCCTGAAAAGAATGCTTATTTGGAAACTTTGGGAGCACTGCATTATATATATATATATATATATATATATATATATATATATATACATTTAGCCTAGATTAATTGGGATATATGCATCTATACTCTTGCTGAAATTTTGTCAAGCACTGTTATTAGTTAGCAAGAGAGCTATATTAAATTATCTTATATGACATTACATTTGCTTGCTTATTCTTTTCTTTTTTTACACAAGAAATATCTATTTTTTAATTAATTTATCTTAAAGAGTAAAAATAAACACAACAGCAAGAACAAAGACAGAAACAGAGTCATATGCGTAATATACATGGTGCAGATTTTCAAAACAAGAATAGCAAATTAACAATGGCTGTTATATTATGTATTTTTATCATCAAATCTGTTGCTCAGATTAACAGATATAGTTATGCAAGATTGGACAAATAATTGAACATTAATGCTTGTTTTCAATAAACCTTAATTTTTCTCACACGTGTACCCAAGTGTACGTGAGACCCTATACCAAATACATAAAAAAGAAAGTATAATAATTGATAAGACAATAGAAATAGTACATATTTAGAAGATTTCAGAAGAAGGCCTGGGGGGAATAGGCAGTGTGCCCTCGAGAGGGCAATATGTAAAGCTGTGAGTGAGAAGCCTATTCAGTGGAAGCCCAGAAGTTTGGAAAAGCCAGGAACGTGGATCATCTAAGGGAAACTGCAAAGAGGGAGCAAAGCCAGCCTAAGAGAGAAGCCATGGGAGCTACCACCATGAGTGCCATAGGGGCAGAGCCACATGGAGCTCACAATTTGCCACAGATTGCTTCGAATGTCCCACATGGACTTATAGGACTTAATGTTTGTCTTTCTGGATTGTGGACTTGCTTTGATCCTGATGCTTAATATTCCGCTGTGTGTACCTTTTGGAATGGTAATGTATGCCTTGTGTCTTTGAATGTTGTTAAGTGTTTAACTTTTCATTTCTACGGGGACTCACAGCTAAGAGTTTGCTTTTGATCTTGGAGGAGACTGGGGACATGGACTTTTCAGGAATGCTGAAACTGTTGGGACTTTGGCAACTCTTAGAGATGGACTAAAATGGCTTTTGCAAAAAGGGATGTGCATGAGTCTTTGGGCTTCCAGTTGCGGAATGTTATGATTTGTGTCTAGTTGTTCCCCCAAAGCCTCATGCAGTCATGGAGAGGACTTCAAGAGTTTGTGATTAACTCATGATCCACTGGGACTATGGGGGCAGGTAATTTGCATTACAATGTAGGGAGAGAAGAGAAGCTAGCTGCTCTAGCTGCTGCTCTCTTTCCTTCACTCTGTTGCTCTTTGAGGCTACTGGGGCTTGGGAGATGGCTCATTGGAATAAGCACTTCCCTAGCAAGTACAAGGGTCTGAGTTCAATCCCTGGTTCCACCAAAAAAAACCTTTACTTCTTCTTTGAGGCCACTATGTGAGGTTGCCCTCTGCCATGTGCCTCTCTGCCTTGGAGCCAGCTGAGTGTGGACTGCAACCTCCAGTAACAGTGATCAAAATAAACCTTTCCTTCCTTTATTTTGGGTGTTGGGTATGTGTCCCAGCAATGAGTGAATAGTAACTGAGACATAAGCCCACTGATTGAGCACACAAACCAACACATTCATGCAACATATATAGCCTGGCCAAAATTTAAAAGAGAATGCAGAGATACTAAAATTCCTCTTCTGATAAAATTTTTAAATGTATCAGTAAAATTGTAAATTAATAGTAATTTTTCTTGAATACAAAAGCATTATATATTGCAAAATAGAAATTAGCAAAGCTAAAATGTCTAAAATCTTATCATATATAAGCACTCAATTTTATTATTTATATATATCTTTCTGGACTTTAAATGGATTGACATCATGAGATCATTTAAAAAATTTTTTAAAGTCTTTTATTTATGTATGTATTTGGTACAGGGTCTTGCTATTAGCTCAGACAAGTACTGATCCTACTGTCTCAGCCTCCCCCATGCTGAGATTATAGTAGTGTGCCAACAAATCCAGTTTAGGCCATCTTCACAGTGCAGGGCCAGCACACATGTGGTACCAGGGATTGAACCTGGGACCTTGCACTAGCCAAGCAGGCACCTAGACTGCTGAGCTATCTCCCCAGCCCTATGAGATCATTTTAATACAAAATTGTACTCATAGTATTTATGTTTTATAACTTTCTTTTTTTATTTTAAAAATAAAAAATAAAAATAAAAATAATACTGGAGACTTTTATAGGTAAATCGATGTGACTCTAGACCATACTCATAAGCAAAATAGATCAGACTCACATGTATAAATGTTAACTGTCTCCTTTGTACAGGGGCCATGCTAATCTTCTCTGTATCATTCCAATTTTAGTATATGTACTGCCAAAGCGAGCACAACTGTCTCCTTTGTGTGAGAAACTGAACAAGTAAAATGCAAAAGGTACAAAAGATTTTGTGAATTGGAAAGACATGGCTCAGAAGAAAAGACAAAGTTTGACAGAGAAAGGGGGAATGGAACAAAGGAAAGAAGACAAAATATATTTATACACAAGATAGTTATGATAGTTATATAGCTTGTTTCTCTTAGTTCATTAAAGAGAAAAATTTGTGCTAATATTGTTTGGACAAGATATTATGCCTTTATCTTGTACTCTAAATAACTACTATGAAAACAAAAGTATGCAATATATTAATCATTTTAACTGTCTTACTAACCTGCTTTAAAATATCTTTGTTTTTATTTGGGAATTACCTTCCCAAAAAGATCACTTTGTTTGGTATTAATATACTTTCTTTGTTTAGTTAATATTTGCAGTTATATTTTTTCATATTTTAACCAACAAGCTTTCTCTATTCTTATATTGTAAATATCAGATGGAGCTTTGTTTTTTAATCTGTACAACTACATCTCTGTTAGTCTGAGTCATTAGTCAATTTAAATTTAACATAATTGCACATCTGTTTAGGCTTAAAGATAGCATCTTGCTCTCATTGAATTTACTATTCATACCCTCCTCTGTACATTTGCAGTTGATAATGTGTTTTACAGATGTTTTGATCTGATGGGAGGACTGTATGATAACAGTTGTCAGAAAAAAACTGAAGTAGAAGGCTAGGATGAGAAAATAGCACATCATGGACAAATGCTGTCACAGAGTATCTGAGCTGTTTTCTAAAGGCTCCAAGAAGCACTGTCAGTTCTTCCCTAAGAAATATGCAGAAGAGGTGAAAAACATGACTACAAACAGTTTTAATTTATCACATGAAGAAAGTAGGTTGTTTTACTCTTGACAGCAGTCTTGGGCAAAATTGTAAAATTAATGTCTTAGAAAAAAGTTTTCAAGGCAATCTTCAAAAGGAGAAATGGTGATTACCAAGGCAGAATGTGTTAATTTAAAATGTCAAATGAAATTATCTACATTTTCTTTTTATGAAAGAATCACTAGACCAGCAGAATGGAAAGACCAGAACACAGTGACTCTGGAATTCAACAAGCCATTTCACACACATAATATCTATTGGATATGCTGCAGAAATTTGGGCTGGAAGACCTTCCAGTTGGGGCCATTGGAAATCTGCTCATCAATGGTTCTTAAATGCACTGATTTGTTATATTGGCTGCCATGTGTTTTACCATTTCATGTAATGACTTGGGTTAATATGTAGAAGGGATAGTCAGAACATCAGTGCAGTACATAAAATTCTCAGAGGAAATTTATGTATTGAGCAATAGAACAGGGTTCAAGAGACTCTCTCAGGTCACTTGTTATTTAGGATAGTCAGGAGCTTGAATCATTTATAAATCTAGGGAGATTGAATTTACCAGTAGTATGTGTGAAAGGGCTTGTAAACTCTTTAGATACAGGTTGAGAATAAATTCAGAATGAGGGAATAGTCTAGCAAAGTCTCCAGAAGTTCCATTAGATAGTCTCATAAAACCTTTATATATCAAATAGAAAGAGTGACACTGATGAAACACACAGAGAATATCTGGTTTACCCTTCAACTTCCATTAACCTCATACCAACTACTGAAATGGAGTCTGTCATCAGGAATTCTAAAAACAATGGAAAACACCAAAAGTCAGAGAAATTCCAAGGAATACAGTTTGATAATTCCATTGATTAAGGGTATGATTTGGGTAGTTTAAATACCATTATCCAAGACTATTGCTTTGTTTAGGAAAGATCAAATTTTACCTAGACTTCTGCACTTCCCATAGTAAAACCCACAGAAAGTTGCCATGTTGACCGAAAGTAGTGACAAGAATCATGTAAGTTCATCACTCAGAGCTCACTTGAACGGTTTATCAATTAAGCAATATTGATACTATTTATGTAGTGCAAGGATAAGACTAGATGTGTAGTCCTTACACAAGTTTTTCTTTGTGGATTTTCTCTTCAAAACAGTTATTATGAAAATGAAATGCATAAATTATTTGGTCTTCCAGAGCTGAAAAAAGGAATCTGTGGTTAAATAAGCTGGTATACTTAGTAAAAAGTATTTACTTTTTATTGGTAAATTAAAGTTTTATTTATTCTGAAGTAGCAAAAGAACACAATTTTTAAAGTCAGGTGCCATTTGGGGCTGGGGAGATAGCTCAGTGGAATAAGTGCTTGCCTGGCAAGCTCAATGTTCTGAGTTTGATCCCTGGTACCATCATTAAGAAAAATAAAAGTAAAGTAGTAAAGTCAAGTGCAACTATAGATTTAAGCAAAACCAAAAATGCTATAATTCTACATTTTCTCACTTCTGATACTTTTTGCAAGATGCCAGATTTCTATTATTGTTCCCTCTCTGGAAGCTCCTAGGAACTTATGTTTATACCTTCATTGATTAAGATTCATATGGATTTTTAAGTCTTTACAAAACACACGCTAGAAAATTTGAATCCCTGTTGCTGTTTCTTCTGTTATTTTACCTTATTTGAACAACGACATGCTCACCTACTATTTCTCAGTCCTTTGGTTCTAGACGCATTTCACTGCTTTCTATGAAATATGACACCATAAGTGCTGTGCGTTGTACCCCATTCTCTACTCACAACCACATATCACTTCCAATGTATTGATATTAATTGGATTTGGTTTTTTGTTGTTGTTGTTTGTTTATTTATTTATTTATTTTGTGTGTGTGTGTGTGTGTGTGGCCAGGTCAGCCCACCAGGGGGCAGGGCTGGCTGGCATGTGGTACTGGGGGATTGAACTGCTGTCCCTGTGCTTTACTTAGCTTAGCTTGTTCTAAGTAGGTGCTTTAGACCACTGAGCCATCTCACCAGCCCTATTAATTGGATTTGAATCAGTATATTTAGCTTGTCTTATTAGGGCTCTATAGCTCTTACTCAGTTGAGCTACCAATGTTTTGTTTCTGTTAGTTTGGAACTTGAGGTTCCCCAAAGGCCTCTGTTAAAGGTATGGCCTGCTGTGCACAGCGCTGCAGGACTTGGGAGACCTTTAAGAGATGGGGCCTAGTGGAGGCTCTGCTTGTTTTGGGGTGCATCCTCTTGAGGGGGATAATGGAACTCCAGCCCTTTCTTTTTCATCTACCACTTACAATGTTCATATTCCAGAGAATGTGGCCTGACAAGATGTCCTCTTTGTGTACTAATGGATTGGTAAAGAAGTAGAGTAAGGCAAGGGAGAAAAACATAGAATCGGAAATCCAAACTATTTCAAATTCTAGTTTATCAACTGCTTTATTATGTACCATACAAAACTTAATACCTTGACTCTTCAGTCCTAAAATGCACATAGCACCCACTTTTTAGTTTTGATGAGAGAAAGGGTTATAAAACATGAAAAGTTTCTAGTGTGTCATCTTAGTGGATCTTTAGTACATATTTATAAAATAAATGAATGATTAGATCAACAAGTTAATAACTGAATAAAATATTTTTGACTAAAGTAACATAAATGTTCAGTTCAGTTGAGTCAGATTTGGCTCATCCATTTTGAATTTCTGATAGCATTTTTTAGTGTCATGCAATTTTATTTTAAATGGGCATGAAGGACAAAACAGAGCTTTACTGTATACACAGCTTACTTTGAAAAGGCAACCACCCTATCTCCTGGGTGTCTTCAAGCTGATCTTGGGAGACAGTCTGCAGACCCAAGTGCATGAAGGCTTGCCCTCCAGGTGACAGGTGCTGAGCAGGGCAGGCAGAGAGGTGGAGACGAGAGACTGGAGCACTCCAGGTACTGACATGGAAAGAGAAGGCTCCCATCAGAACTGTTGAACTTATGATATCTTGAAGAAGTATTTGAGTAATTTACTGGTGAATCATAGAAATTATAATGCTTTAATATTATGGATGCTTTTAACATAGCCCTTTCCCAAGAAATCTTTTCAAGATTCTTGCCAAATTTATACCTTAAGCTTGAAACTTTAAGTAGAGCATGAATATAACCTGCTCTCTGCATGATCAAAGGCAGGTATGTCTGAAATGATCCACAAACACCAGGATGCAGGGATTTCCTGTGCTCTTGCATTGCACCATCGGCAAATGCCCTTAGCTACATGCACTGCATGTGTAGAAGCCACTTCTTCAATTTCCAGCCATGTTACCTAATTATCTTAATATTTTCACTTTAATTTGCTGAATAGTTACGAATTTTCTCCTGCCAAGAGATTGCTTTAGAGAAATTCAGTCTGAGCTTCAAATACAAAATTATCCAATTACGTCTTTTCTAAAAAATTATCAAAGTGGAAGCTGAACATTTCTTTGTGTGATGTAATTAGTATTGCTCTCATAAATTTGTTGGTTCTTTCCATCAGATGGTTATCGCTGGGTAATTACCAATTGCCCTGGTGAGAAATGCATCTGAAATTATTTCAAAAGTCTTTCAAATGACCAAATTTTGAAATAATGGCCCAAAACTATAACATTGTATTATAAGAAAACTCGGTACCTTACAAATTGTTACCAGCACAATAGACAGGATTGAGAATCCTCAATTATATTTTATTCCAGATAGAACAAATGTGTGTATACTGCCTTTTCTGCAAGATGTTGGTTAAAGAACTCCACTTTCACGCAGATGACCCATGTATTTATTATATCACCTGGTCTACTGATGTTCTTTAGAAAAATTCACATTAATTTTCTTACCAAGAAACTTTCTTCAGTTTTTGTTTGTTTCAAAAAAATATTACTGTGTTTATAACATAGAATTTCTTTCTATGGAGGAAAGGGAGTAAAGGATAGCCGGTGCTCAAAAATAAAATTGTTGTGCTGTGACATAATTATTCTAGCCTACTGTACAGATTATTGAGACATGCCACCCAGAAATGCAGAGAGAGCTGTAATAGGAAAAACTCACACATTTGTTGGTGTATTCACAGAACAAAAATCTTCACACTATATGGTATCACACAGAAAAGTGTGGTTTTACTTTT